CGTAGTGCTTAAATATTTTAGGTCAATAGTTAATATATATAGGATTTATAAATTTTTTGTTGAACACACAAAAAATTATAGTTTTTCATATTAAAATAACAAAAATATAATATTATGGAAATCTTCACATGTATTTTTTTAATAAATAATATGAGAATTACAAATGTGAAATCAATTACAAAACTTTACTTTTGAGAAAATTCTTTCAATTACAAAACTTATTAATGAAATAAATAAATGTGTACAGGTCATTTGTTTTTTCTCTTCAAGTGCATTCTTAACCGCAATATTTGAAATCATAGTAACCGCAATATTTGAAATCATAGTAAGGAAAATAATAAATAATATTATAATTTTGGTTTTTGAGTGTAGTTTATTTATCCTGCACCTATTTTTGGTAAGATGTTCGTGAATCGTGATCTTGAATGAAGGTAAGTGGGATTGGACAAAATGGCCTAGCCACTAACCTAAGGGGGTCCTTGACCGTGATTTAACACATATTAATTATCTATTTAATTAATAAAATCCGATTTCACTAATCTTTCTTGTTGATCCGTGTACTACACATACAATATGCGTATCAGTATTTTTCGAATTTCAAGAGACGTATAATTACAAAAAATAAAAGAAAATATTGTTGTTAGTCTTGAAAGTGACATCAAAATCATAGAGGGTTTGTGGTTGAAAATTTTTTTTTTTCTGAAAAAGATTGTGGTTGAAATTTACTAGCGACCAGTGGAGTATCTCAGCGAGGGAGATACCAATTCATGCCCTTGATTTTTCCCTTGACCAACAATCTAATTATTTAAGAAAAGTATATTTATATTTAATTAAGAAAAAAAAAATAATTAAGAAAAAAAAATAATTAAGAAACCTTGAATCATTCTTATAAGAGGAAAGAAATAACAAAAGCTAACATATAAAGTGAAAGAGTTGTTGAATCTGAAGAAAAACAAATGATAGAATTATGTAGGCACGAGTTTCGTCTTAGCCACCACATGGCACAAGTGTTAATTTAATTAACAAAAGGGTCTACTGTCCATTTCTATACAAGAATGAAAAAAAAAAATAGTAAAACACATAAATAAAATTATGTATTGTTTCATTAACTTTATAGTTAAATACAATGTTTACTAGTTAGTAAGATGGTTAGGTCTACCGTCTACTGAGTCACTGATTAAGATTATAAATTTAGATGATTAGATACATCAGTTTATCACTATCAAATTTACTTACATATTTCTGGATTAGTTACATATTTGGATTAAAACATCCGATAGATCATGTGAACTATTAGACTACCATAAGTTTCATTTAATGAATTAGATGTCTACGTGAGAAGTTTATCGATTTCGTAATAGTTAAATGGTTGATAAAATCGTCCAAACCCGTCTTACAAATAATTCAGAAATATTTTGTTTGTCCTCTTTACTATTTTATTAACTTTCTCTTCACCATTAGTTGAATGTAAGAACTCTTTATTTTATGGGAAATTGGCGTCAATAAATTAACCCTTATTTTATCTAACTCGTTTCTTTTGTTTTTCTCTCATTCATCTAATACTATCCTTTTACACCAATATACACAATTGCATATATTATAGTGTG